TGCTTTCCCCGACCACCGGCATCGTTCTGTCTCCCCGTCGACTTTCCGCTTTTCCTCGAGCGACGACGCCGTGAGTTCCGTCGAATACAGGTCTTAGGACAAGGTTCTTCCGTTTACACACGAGTGTTAAACATCTTTCTCGAACAGTTCCGAATCTGCTTCGTCTTCCGGGTATTTGAGAATCATTTTTCTTACCGATGCTATTCGCCATCGTAGCCGCGTAGTCGGAAATGTTCTTTGTGAAAGGAATAAAGTTGTGATGATGAAGATTAAATGAGTGCTTACTGGTTGTACTGATAAAGAGGTTTTTGAGATATAATTTTTTAAAGAATATTTAACAGATGCAGGTATTTTATGACTGCACAGAACAACTGAACTACCGATCATTTGCAGAGATATTATCGTAAGAAGTTCGAAATTGTAGACTCAATGTATCTTTCAAGTATTACAAATTCTAATTTAATATAACTAATTAATGATATAACTAATAGCATTACAAATTTGGACAAACAGTATCTCTTAGGATATCGTGAATACACGTTCTAAAATAGAATCACCTATTGCATTTTAAATATTAAACCTAGAGCAATAGAATCCATCCACAAAGGAATCAGTATACTCAATTAGCGAAAGTAGCTGAACGATCCGCAAAACGCGGTTACGATAACAGGTATCTGTCCCACGCTACCGGACATTAGAAACAGCAGAATTCCCAATAACGAAGCGTCGAAACTAACCGATGGGTTATAGCAGGATTCTGGAATGTAGTTAAATCGCACAAGAACGTTAATCGCGTGTCTGGATCGTTCGTGCTCCTAGAATGAAACAGTCTGCTAATTTAATTGAAGAACGGTATGCACCGCTTCGATGGAACGAGCCAAGCTATAAAGACTATCTCGTTGAGCAACGCAGCAGTTCCTCTCGCAAAATATATCAAATCGCACGCGAAACTTTCTAGCAAACAAGAAAAATGGGAATGGAACGCGTTCATCCGGGCGAGTAGTGCTTGATGTTCTACGGAAATGTGAATTGGTTGCCTTCGGTACCAATTTTTTACTCTTTTTTCTTCTTTTTTCTACGTCTCTTTTTTATTTTTTTTCTTCTTCTTTTTTTGTTTCGTCAAACCATTCTAGCTTACACGTTTGTAAAATCACGGGCGAAATGATGTACAGACACGATGTTCAGCAGCGACCGTTCAAGTGGAATCGGTTGTAGTAGGCTGAGGAGCCATGTTTTCGTAGTCCATGCGGAAACCAGCGGAACATCGGTTCGTTCGCGTGTACGCGTGCCTTCAAAGAGCGATTTTTTATAGCTTTTTTTTGACGAGGGGCAAATTTTGTCGGTTTTATTCGATCGCTACACGTATCGTTGGTTGGCGCGATCGCAGACCACGTTTCTTTATTCATCTCCGTATTCCGAAATGGATACCTTGCCGACGTAATTGAACGCGGAATACCGTGAAAGGAGTGAAAGGGATATTCTAGACAGGTGCAAAAATGGAGGCAAGAAAAATATGCACGAATGAGAAGTAATTGTAATTTATATCTGTGTATGGGATTACATATTTCTGAATATTGTTATTCGTTAGAGACGAAATGTTTCATTAAGCGTATGTATTAATATTATCGTTATTAATTTCGTTTAATTATTAAATTATTATTTTAGAACTTAATAATTTCCAGCCACCAACTTAGTTTTTAAATTATCACACGAAATAATCTTCTTAAGAAAACATAATCAAATTTCCAGCAATATTTATAAATGTAATAATTATAAATACAATCTGTAGAAAATCTGTAATTCAAACGTTATTAAATTTATTCGAAATAGTATTTTGAGATATGTATACACTTGTATCATAATAACACAGTCGGAAGATGGATGGCTTTCAACAGAAAGTACTGCTAAATCATTATTACTAAACTTTAAATTGTAGTGAACTGAAATGAGACTAAATGATAATGTTCTATAGTGCATCTCATAATACAAAATTTAATATTGATACGTTCACAATATAAGGTATTTCAGTGTGAGAGAAGTATGCTTTGTCTGATCAATAAAGATCGTAATTACTAATTATCGTAATATTGTACATCTCGTATTAAATATTCTTGCCGCCTTCCCTCAAATAAATTTATGCAAGCACAAAACACAAGTTCGTGTTCACACGCGAATATGGAAATATGCATGCTTCACTGGGCCAGCGTATCATGTATGGAAACATCTTCCGAGAAATTTCAATTGTAATCAAAATTCTCCATCATCTATGATACACTCGACAGAGTATACAATTTTTGCCACATATTTTGCATGTTTAAGGAAGCCCTATTTTCGTATCGATAGAACGTTTGCATTGGCATCAAGGAATCACTTATAACAGGAATCCTAATAAATGAAAAATCTTTTGATGTAATTAACGCTACGAATTAAAATTAACTAAAATAACGCGTTGTAGATTTTATCGGTTATTGAATATATATAAACATTTTGTAAAATTAGTGTCGAGTGTTATTGAAATTAATTATAATTATCTGTGCATAATATATTTAGAAATATACGTATGCGTATACTTCCGTTTAAAAGCTTGGACAAACTTTTTTCTGGACAAAATATGCCTTTTTGTACATTTTTCTACGAAATATATTATAACCATAATTTTCATTTTTAACTATAATTAATTATACTTTCAATAAAAACCAATCTATAAAATCGGTTGCTTAATCAATAATAATTAGCAAAGCAAATATTACGCAGTTCATTTAACCACTTTGATGGTTACTTAATTTCCAAATATCCTGATTATAACTCGCTAAATTTTCTCTCCTGATAAAATGAAGCACCTTCTGTTTAAATTTCGTGCTTGAAACGTCCTTTTATCCGAGATGCTGAGAGTCGAGCTAACTTTTCCAGCTACAAATTAGGGAGTAAATGGCGCGAAACGGGTTGTCGCAGTATTCCAGAGGATATTGCAGCGATGTATCGCATTACTGTAACGCGAACCAACGGTCTCGCTCGTATCGTTGGCAATGGCGACGACAACGACAAGGAAGAGGAAGAAGAAGAAGAAGAAGTCGGAAGAAGAAACGAAACGGTCCAGGATCGCGGAAACTACGCTCGTCGGCCGAGTTTCATCGGATCCGCGTTAACGGCTAACTCGAAGCTACGTTAAATTAAACAGAGGGGAGATAAGTTTGGACGTGTCGCTAACTTTGCTCCTCTAGAACCACCCCTTCTTGCAAACTAGCCTTCTTCATCGCCGGCAATCTCGGCTGTTGCCACGTTTTAGCCACTGTCGCGATACGAACATGCCAAATGTTGAAAGTTACCACTTGGATCTTTCATATTATATATTTGGTATTGATAATATCACAGAGATTAATGTGTAGAGTGCCACTAGCTGAAAGAATAATCTTTCTGGTATATAAGCAATATTTAAAATCAGTGAAATAAATTTATGACAACATATGATTGAATTTGTTTTTAAATAATGTTATGCTCTAGCAATTGGTTTTTATATATACTTTTAGTATGCATAGTAACTTGTACATGTGTGTTGATATCTTTCATAAAAGATTGACATTATGTTTTTATCAGAATCTTATTTGTTATCTTGTTATCAGAAATAAGCAAACGGAATTTAAAAAATAGTATCTGTTGGAAGAATTAATAAAGCATTAGTATAATCCCAAAATAAGGTGAAATCGAGCATACATTTTTATTACATATTGCGAATCCGTTTCAGAAATTTAACATTGCGGCTTTATTATATATAATTAGCCATTCACCTCTGGAGTATCGAAAATATCGTCGTAAATCGTTGTAAAATTTCATGGTTCACGATTCCCAGAAATTAAAATTAAATTTAATATTAGCGTTACCTGAAATAATATTTTATTACGAACGCAATTCGCATTTAAGCACAATTAGACCTTAACCACGAGTGTAGCGCGATATTACAGAACAAAGGGTTAGGTTACACTCTATATATGGAAAACTTGGGTGGTGTCGAGCTGCTCGATGCGCAGACATTATCGACATGCGCAAAAATAACGAGCCTCCTTCGGACACAATGAACGAGAATGTATGAATAATAATAGGCGATACGTATTTCCGGTTGATGTTCCAGTTTAGCCAAAAGGGAAACGTGTTCGCATTCGGTATCAAACTTGTTCCTGCCAACGATTCGTTCGCTAAAATAAATAATGATCAAAATTAACTTACTTACTGCAAGATATTAACTTACTGCAAGGTTTATACGTTTCCATCAAATCATTATTAGAAAATCAATGTTCCTTATGTTCCTTATCAAAAATTTAAATTTGATCTATTATATTGTATTACAATATATAGATATAATAATAGAATATACTATATTTTAAATTTCTAGCAAATGAAGACAGCTTTAATAAAGACAATCATTTCGCAAATTCAATCGTTAAAAAGTAACATAAATAACGAGTAACTAACTTCTTTAATGAGAAGAAAATTTGCTCTCATAAAGTTCAAAATGAAAAAGTGAAAAAATTTCAAACATCGTATACTTAAATAAAATATTCACCCTCCAAGTCTGTCGAAAACAAATTCGGTCGAACAAATTAAAATTCTCTAGCACGTACAAAAAATATTTCGTCTTTTACATGAAACAAAACAAACTAATTTGTGCCTTTGTGCGTCTCTTAAATTTCAGTAAATCAATATCTATATGCTAATTGTATCACGCTTCGCGTATACGATCGCTTCAACAATGACACGATCACTCAAATTAATACTTGAACGCGTTGCATACAACCATTATGTACCATCGTTTCAACTTTCATAGTCGTGGAAAATCCAAAGTGTCTGAGAAAACCGGTCGCTAAGCCGACAGCAGAAGTACAGTGACTGGCATCGTGGCCCTAACAGAGCCTTCGTATTTTATCTAAATGACGTGAAAAGGGAGGCAATGTTCGAAGTCAGGTCGGGTCGCGCCCTTAACATCCAGTCCCTTTCTATCCACTCACCCTTTCCTTCGAGGCCATCTTCACCCTGTCCGTGCGCCGTTTCCTCTCTCGAACTTTCCTTCCCCGTCTCACCACCATAGGGAGCGCTTTAAAACCCGTGGAACACCGAGGTCGAACTCCCTTCCCAGGTATTATCTCGTCGGCTGTTCCATCGCGTAATGCGGAACCACGGTATACCGTCGCGTTTAAGGGCAAAAATAGCGACACCCCTCGTGGCCTCTCTTTATTCGTGCTTCGGTCCATGAGCAGCGGGGACAGGTGGAAAGCGTGGCGTGGAAAAGTCTCGTGCGTGCGGGGCGCGCGAACCGCGGCTAATGGAGATGCTATGTAGGCGGATCGTATAAAATTTTATGGGCATAACCCGGTCGCCGGTCGCCGGTTGCTCCAGAGGAGGGTTTCTGCTCCTTTATGATCCTTTCCCTTGCATCGAGAATGTATTTCTTTGGAACGACCATTCGTTAAATTTTTCAGATATATACGAACCATTTATTTGTTAAATTAATTAACTTCACGAAACTGAAAATGGAGAAAATCGATGTAACTGTATAAGATAAGAATCGATCACGAGCGCTTTGGCACTAAAATCTGAAAACCTTCATAAGGCGGAGTTAATCACTTCTATGTGACCTCTTCTATATGATTCTATGTACTATATGTGAATTCAATGTAACAGGAGAATCAGATGATGGATAATGTTCAATCGAAAAGCGTGTTCTGGTTAATTAATGGTCTGAAATTATTTGTGAAGGAGTTAGATCGGTGCTAGGGTTATTTTTACCCTTGCAGATAGAAGGGTGTTGCGAACCCTACTTATATTTATAGGTATGAAACACTTGAGATTTTTATTTCTTCTTATGATGGAGGGTATAATTACTTGTTGTATGAATAGTCCATTATCTAAAAGACTGCGATTCTTAAAAAAATAAATAATAATATAGTAATATAGTATGTAAGTATAATGCTACTAACAATAATATGGTATAATGTTGCTAGTAATTAACTTTACACTATTATATCGTACGATGATCATGCAATCCCTCTATAAAGCTGTAGATAATTTTAAGATTCTTTTTATTGCAACACCTACTTCCTTCAGTCAAGTAACATGTTGCAAAATTTTCTACGGTACTCTAAATATACAACTACTTAAATTTTATATAATGAATTTGCAATTCAACAATTTAATTCAGAATCGGGATGTAGGAACGACGCGACTGTATAGCTAATATGAATTCTTTCTCTGGATTCATACGAGAAAGAAAGCACTCGAACCTTCGACCCTTATTGAAACCGCTTGTTGGCCACAGTTAGCAATGGATATAGGCCGCGATGTAAATGGTACGTAGAAGTGGCGTTCGACTAGATGGAAACTGACTCGACGAATGCATATCCGACGGTAAAAATTGGAATATCCTAGCGTAGAATACGAAAATCGACGGCGGAGAGGGACAACGTGTGATTTATATTCAATGGAGAATGGTTCTTCAAATTTTCGCCGGCACCGGGAAATCGACCGAGTTATATTGAACTACGATATTTTATGTAACTTCTGGCTATTTGCATGAGCCGATAGTTCAAGCGGTCGTACGTTTTATTCTGGATCATTTACATTTGTAATGCTGGCGAGTATATTTTCAAATTTCGATCAGATCGAGTCGTAAGCATTTGTGCATTAAGTTTTTGTGCTAGTTTGGGAATTGCTCGATAATTCCAACTGATCGAGGTAAACTATTCCACGATTTTTTAAATAAAATAGATGTTTTCCAAGAATATGTTCGCAACCATTGCAATATTAGAATTTTAATCGTCAGGAGATACTTGCATAAAATTTGTATTTAAAAAATATATTTCCTCAGAAACCACACGAAATAAATTACTAACATGATTTGTGATAAACAATGACAAAAATATTTTTTAGCTCTAAAGCTACAGTCTCTTTAAAATCCTTGGACTTCCCCTCGAAACTTCTGAAATACTTGCCAACTCTTCGATAGCTCATCAATTTTCATAAAATCATCTAACTAACTATACCCTAAATCATTCCTTCATCAAAATATTTTCAAAAGTAAACTAACGTTCCTTCGTCTTCAGCTCATGTCCGCCACCACCAATGAATCTAACCTACACCGTTTCTCTTATCGTTCGAATCGTTTGATCCAACAATGAAGTTCGACGTCAAGCATCTTCCGACACGTTTGTTCTGCAAGAATCGAGAACAATGCGGCAACTAAACGAATCAAAGTGTTCCTCTTTATTTCGGCCCCTGGAGAGTATCCGTTAATCAGGTACGTACGTACACGCAAGGAAGGTAGGAAGGAAGGAAGGAAGGAAGGAAAGACCCTCGCGTTCTGGTCCATGTCCACGTGCACCGGCAGAGCCCATTCGGGGCCCGGTTGTTTGTTAAATATGCCACTTAGCCGTCAAGTCGAGCGCGGTTAGTTGTTTGTTTTACTTGAAGCACTCGCGATAATTATTCATCGTTGCCTTTATGGCACGCCTCGCCCTTCGAGAGCATGCCAGCCGAGGAATAACGACGAGGTCCTCTCTCTATTGACTTGATGGTACTCGCGAGAGGCCCCCTGCTCCTCAATCGTTCGACTTCACGAAGAATAAACTGCGAAAAGGACTCGTTCTCTTGCACACTTGCTCCCCGTTATGCTCCGCATTCAAGCCGAATGCAATCGTTCCCTTTTTCTGTCTCTTTCCCTTCCTTGATCCCTTGCAGCGGTGATTCTACCCTCTTCTCCGTCTTCTATCCTTCTCCTTTTTTTTATCTTCTTTCTCCCCTACTCCAGATGGCATTGTGGCCGTCAAACGACGTAATAACGATAAGAGCGTTCTCTCGCAGAGGAAAGAAAAAGAATTTCTTGTCGTTGCTCGACCCAGGACTGACTGTTCGTGTCTTGTCGTGAAGCCGAGACACGAACGGAGCGTATTATTGTTTCGTTACCTACGAACGGACTTCCATCGATTTCTGTTTAGTTGAAAACGGCTGAGTGCCACGCTATTTCGTTCCATCATCGGCTCTAAACGCGACAACCAAGTAATGGGGGGAGAAAAAACGAGTCGAGGCAGAGTTCACCTGGGCGTCGATCGCTGATGGAAATGTTTGATGAAACGTGAAATAAAGACGATTGGAATGTCGAGATTAATGGCACGGACAATGACTAAGAAATTACTTCGATCTCTGTGTTCCTTTCAATTTATACTTCTGACACAACAAAACAATATCAAAAATATTGCTATCACTATAACGTAATACGTTTATTTAATTTGTAGACACTATGTTCAAGATGTACATTGATCTTACAATTAGAAATCTTGTAAGCTACTCTAAAGTGTACAATATTTCGTAGGAATTCCTTTACGCACTTTTCGAATAAATCTTTCAATGTTGTTGCTTCATTACAATTCTACAGTTTAAAAGATTATTTTATTAACCCTAATTATTACACATCGTACAATCGCTACAATAGAACAGTCATCTGTATCATATTATTATAAAAGGGAAAAACAGGAAACTCTTTTCGCGCTACGGCACTCGTGAAAATATAACAAAAAGATCGTCCCAATTAATCCCAACTAAATCTGCTCAATCGTGTGATTCATGTCGTATTCAAAACATATTTAACCATCCTCATCGCGGTACGTACAATCTCCGTATGAAAGCAACCGTCTCATAAGCATCGCAAAATAACGGGATCCTGGGAGGAACGAGGGGGTAACACGTTGTGGCGTAGTCGGCTCGCCCCCAGCGTGAAAATTCCGATTCGCTCGAGTGTACCGCTTTCACTCGTCGTTAAAGTCTCGGCGGGCCTTCATCGTCGCGGTTTAATTTCGGCTACAAGGCGAAACTTTCCGGCCGCGCGAGATCGAGCGAAAGCCATTGGACCAGCGCCGACGACGGACGATCCCCGTGGCCGAAGCTAACGACGACGTCGGGGGACGATGTTTGCGCTCTCTTCTACCCCAAAAACCTGAAAGGGTTCTCCTGTAGATTAGAAAGACCGCGGTATACGTATTTCGCCTAGGAAAGGGTAGATTGGCTTTCTGTCTCTATTAGACCGCGTCTCGCCCTTCCATCTGCTTCTCCACCGGCAAACTATCCCTCCGACTATCTCGTGCCGTTGGCCTACCCTGGCCTTTTCTGGCGCCGCGATATTAACTCCGGGCCTTCTAGACTATCCTTTCATTCTCGTACGTCGGGAAATCGTGCCAGCGACGCGATGCAGATAATCGACGATTTACTGTTCACCGTGGATGTGAAATCCGGCTGTTTGAATCAATTAAGCGTCTATTTTTAGATAGTTTTATTCTGTTTCTGCTGAGATGCCATGTAGATGTTTTTCTTTTTTTACGGACAAAGTGCGTACCTTATTACGATTGACTTTCTCTGTGAATTATGTGGAACTACAGGCCGTGATGGTGTTACAAGGAAATGGGAATCTTAAAAAATATTTAGGGATTTTAGATATATAAAAAGTGTTGTCGTAGTTTTACTTTCCAGCGAAGCATTTTTTTTCATCTGGTTCTATATGTTTCATTCTCATAGTATCAAATTTTTATAACCATGCTAGACGATATGAAATGTGCTTGAATTGTACTTATTAATTAAATATAATACACCTTTACTTTTCGTAGCAACTGTAGACAAATTTTATTAACCACGTGAAATCGTTGGATTATAGATTTTTCTACGACTAAAGTATTTGTCTTTCTGGTCACATAAAGAATATTTTGAAACAAAACAAGTGAATACTTAAAAGGAAGAAATATATCGTTTAAATTATTTTATGAATCCATTACTTTAGATACATGGAATTTTCTATTTTATTTTTTGTCATATCTATCTGTTCCATGTTATCTTTAAATTCCAACAGCAATTAATTTCATTGCGTTAAAATTTACGATCGTTCTATTCGTATGTTTCAGATGGTGAGTGTTTCAGACACAAAATACGCAATTTCATGATTTCACAGGAGAATAATAGTATTCAGGTAAACGTTATCACACGAATTTTCCACGTTAGTTTTCACCGATGAATAGCTTATCGAAGCTGTCGAAGATTAACTTTTCAAATACCGTCCGCAGAAATGAATTTTATCAGGAACGCGTTGAACCCCTAACAAATGGTATTACGTTCCCCTCGGTTATCTGATCAACATAACTCAATGCGGCCAGTGACCACCGTAACGCGATACACTGACCAAAACAATGCATGCGTTTACGGCG